TCCCTTCTATCTGTGAAACTGCAGTAGGGAAAGGAGAGTCATTGCACCCTGTCCCCCAAAAAGATTTTCAAGTTGACAACTGGTCACTGGAATAGGGGGGAGAGCAACAACTCTGAGAAAGCCCAAACTGTACAGTTAAAAGAGTGGAAGTTCAGGCTACTCCCCCCCTTACCCCCAAGCAGGGAAGCCACAGGAAAATGGGACATTCACCTACAGGCACTGGCCTAAGCCTTTTTTTGCCCTCTGCTTCCCCATCCTTTCAGTTATCTCCCCACTTGGCCTCTGTTCTTCATACAGGAACAGAGTGGGGTTCAGGCCTGGAACCAAGTCCCTTACTTTCTTGCATAGGAGACACTTCAAAATAAAATGTATTGTTTGACAATTCATAAGGAGAATTTAAAATTTATTATTTGGATGAGGCATAGTTATTTATATGTTTTTCCAATTATCCCCTGCTAGGAAACTGGTGGGTTATTAGGCATATTCACTCTGCAAGCCACTAAATGCCTGTTTTGGGTTACAGCTTGTTAAAAAGAGACCCAATTTTTACAAGCACAAGTACTATGAAGTCTTTTAGACTGTGAAACTGAACTGATCTGAAGGATCATAGGCCTCATTATAAAACAAACTTGCTTCTGGGTAACATAGATTAAGTACTTACAGGGTACACCATGAAAATATGTAAAGAATAGAGCTTTATCAAACAAAAGCACAATCTGTGCCTTCTAGATGCCTCAGACATAAAATATTGACACAAGAAGATCCACATTGTGTCTACATAGGCCTCACAAAGACATTACCAAAGAACAAAAATAATTAGTGGTCTGATTTTGTCCCAAGTCATCAGGGAATGAGATACAATTAATTTTAAATTGAATAATGACAAAATATTCCAGAAACATTTAAAAAATTGATCACCACAGGGCAAGCATTACCTTCAGTTCATTTTTAATAACCTCAAAATTAGTACAAGGATGAACTATTAACATTTGTAAAAGAGTTAGCTATGACCTAGGTAACCATGAAGGTTGTCTTTAAAATATCAGCTCAATTAAACTCAGGGTGAAGGTCGTGTCATTTAAGATACACGGGTTTGCTGATAAAGGCTTAAAATCATATAAGAAAAAAAACACTGAACAATAACTGCAATATTTTTCCCACTTCATAGATGAGGAATTGGAGAGTTAGTAAGGATAGTGTTCTACGCCATACCACCCTGAACGCACAGGATCTCATCCCATCTCAGAAGCTAAGCAGAGAAGGGCCTAGCTAGTTCTTGGATGGGAGAAGTAGTGACGGTCCGCTGTAACTGAAATGGTTAAAAGTGTAAACATTCACATTCTGAATTAAATACTCAGGATTAAAATACTGATGTGCATTGACTGTTGAAGAAAAATATTAAGAATGTGTACACCTGTTTTTTAAAATTAAAAAAACTTTAATATATACTATCATAGGTGATAGTTTTTTGTCTTAGCCATCTACAAAAGTTTTCCCCCAAATACAGCCTATTGTATTTGAGTCCATTCCCTCCCAAGAACCTAAGTATTTTAGGTAAATAAAAATTGTAACACAACATTTTTATTAAATAAGCTTTAAAACATATGCCATATAATTCCCCCAAATCTACCTCTGTATTGTGACAAAATACACATAATAAGTAAGAAGCCCCAGGAAGAGTTCAAATAACCTTCTACTTAAAATTTTCAGCTAGCATTCTATGAAACTAACTGGAGTATGCTATGTATGCTACACTGTATATGCTTGCAAGATGGTTAGTCACATATCTTAGTGGACTTTTGTGGAAGTCAAATTAGATCAGTTTCAAAGAACCTTTGTAAGCATTTTACATTGCTGCCCTTTTCATTGCTTTTAGGCCTTAGGAGGGAGAGCAAGGAACAGCTTAAGAGGTCAACTATCCTAATGTGGAGATCTGCTTGGAAAAATAAGAAAAGCAAATAAGAAATTCAGTTTAAGGGACATATGTTTATGCTTATAGTCTGGTGACTTAAATCAAGTTTTCTTGATTAGTGATTTTTTAGAAGTCCTCTACAGCTATTATTTATTTAGTGGAATCCTGTAAGATCAAAAACTTCTTCCAATACGTTTGCCACCCTTTATGACACATATTTCTAGGTTTAAGTGACAATGAATTCAGCAGAACATCCACAGTTAGAAAATGACCACAGTTTCTGTCCTATCCATTGGGCATATATAGATCTTATGAAAGAAGTGGAAGTATGGGCAAGTATGGGCCAGGATGTATAAAACATTTGTGGAGTATTATTTTAGCACTTTTTCCTACTTCATGAAAGTGTCCTGTTATTAACAAGCATTTATTTCACAGTTTTAAAATTAAATGCAATGTATTATTAATACTTGTATGTTTTCATATTAGTTTCTTTTACACAGCTTTCAAGCACATAATTAGCTTAATAATTAAGATTAATGGCAAACATCCTTAATTTCAGAGTTACAGAAGAAAGTATTTTATAGTCATATAACTTGCTAATTAAAAGCAATTAGCCATGATCAACAATGCATTTCAAATTTATATTCCTAAGGTTGCACTTTTTTCCCATATAAATTTAATCATATGGATTTTGAATTTAATATTGTGATTTTTAAAATTGTAATTAATCATTTTTAAAAATGTGGTTCTGAAATATACAAAGATCTGAGCATCAAGGAATTGGTCCCTTTAAAGAAAATAGTGTATTCCATCACTAAAAATACCAATCACAAAATTTTTTTCAAAGTCTAAGCTTTATAAAGAATATGATGCTGGTGGACATTTTAGTTTTAATTTTAAAAAGAAATTATAATCCTCTAAATTTAAAAGAATTAAAAAACAATGCCCAAAAACTTAGCCTGGAATTCTCCAAACCTTTATGCTTCACTGAAGCCATGCTTTTGTAATAGTTATTGTGAAAGCTAGAAAGAAACTTCTAAATATAAAAAAAAGAGTTTTGATTTAAAAATGAAATCACCAGTTTTTTTCTTCCAGTGAGTTGCAAAAGACTGAGATGGTCACTAGTAGCTTCTAAGATCTCTTGAGATATACTTATCAGCAAGTGAAGTATCAGATATCATATAATTTAAATAAAGGAGAAAAATCATGTGAAGTACACAGTAAGATAAAAACGGATGGTTTTGTAACAAACTTCACTTTTTGTCTAACACATTAGTTTAAAAATTTTGTATATTAAAGAATACTGTGACACCATATTCACTAGAGTTAGGTCTGATTGAGACAATACAAAAATTATATGAACACTTGAACAGGATCTTTGGAATTATCATTGCTAACTGGTAGCATGTATGTTTTCTGTAAAACTTGCATAGGAGTGGAAGGTATTTCGCTAAGAGAAAAGCCACCGTGAATGTCTATGACAGTCTCTGTATCAGAGGGTTTTCTAAATTATCTCGAATCATCAGGTGGATTCTGCTTTCATTCAGCTTTCTGATCAATTAGCTGTAGAGACGGGATGATGGCCTCAGAACACCTGAGATCTATCGAAGATCTGCCCAGGTCCTTGTAAAGCCTAAACTAGTTCAATAACTGCAGTTACAATTTGCTTCATGAATGAGAAAAAAGGTGACGGTAAAATTAATGTACTTCAAAAGCGAGAGTCTCTCCAGCCATTGGTTTCGTACAACCCAGTTCATCATCTTGCCTGGTTTTCAGATGGTAATTTATACAACGTAATGTTACATTTTTGTCCCCACTCTTGAAAGGAAAAGAAGAAAAACTTTAGCTTCTTCATTATGGACTATTTTTTAACTTTATTTCTCCTAAAAGAATGGACACTATTTTCCCAACCATTATCCTCAGACCCTGTGGATTACATTCTCATAGTAAAACCAGAGCACAGCAAAATAATAACGACATAATATCATCATCACCGTCACCATCGTCATCTTGCAAATTTTGGACACATTACCAACACGTTTCAACAAAACGCAATTACAGTGAGGGGACTCACCTAATGGGAGTTAACAAGAAGAACTTAGAAATGCAGCTTTCTGATCACCCGCAGAGGTAAAGGCCCCTTCTTTACCTAAGGACTGACCTTATATAAAAGCAGCAGAGAGGGTACTCCCAGTTTCTGCCTCCCTACCTTAGGCTCCTCCCCAAACAGCAAGGCTTGAGTACCACAACTACACACCCGCTTCCAGCCCCCACACGGAGGGACCGGTGGTTTGTTAACCTACCTACCTACCTGCCTAGGCTAACCACAAACAGCAGTATTCGGGCATGGCACGGGCTGGACCCCACAACCCCGGAATTTTACCTTTCCAAACGCGGGCGGCGTGGGAGGGGGCCGTGTTCTCCACCTAACAGCCCGGGGGAGTCCTGCCCACAGCCGCAGCCCCTCGGTTCGGCCCAGCGAGCTTCAGGCGCACCAGGGCTGGCTGCCTGCAAGTGCCCCCCGCGCTTAACTTGTCACCATGACCGCACACGGAGAGCGAGCGGGAGCACCCCACCGCCGCGGGACGGCTCTGCCCCCAAGTTCCCCTCGAGCCGCTCCGGGTCGTCTGCGCACCTCCGCCGGGGACGCGGAGGCCTCCCCGGTTCCCTCGGACCCGCAGCCAAGCGCTGGCCCGGGGGCCCGTCCTGGGCGGTCGCCTCTGAGGCGCGCAGCCCGCGCCCTCCACGGCCGGCTGCGTCCGCTCTCCGCCGGGACTCGTCCTCGGGGCGCGCTCCCCACCCGGGCCCGCTCAGTCCGGTGCCCCCGCCGCCCTCCCCCAGGGGCCCGCGCCGCGCGGCCCCCCGCCTCTGACCTGCGGCGGCGGCGAGGCGCCCCGCTCCGCTGTCCCGGGCCGACCCGAGCGCCGCAGGCGACGGTCCGGCGCGGGCGCGGGCCGGGGCTCGGAGTGCGGTCGGCCCCGCCTGCCCGCGGGCGAGCCGGGCCCGGCCGGGGGCGGGCGCGGGGAGGGCGCGGCCGCGGGCGCCCGCCGCCCCGGCGCACAGTAGGGCCCCTGGCCGCTCTGCCTACCTTTTCTCCAGCGCCTACTCGGCGCCCGGCCTCGTTTTTTCCTCACAACCACCGCTGGGAGGCGGCTCAGGAAAGGTCCCATTTGACAGCGGGGCGACCCGCATGAAGCTCGGGGAGATGCCCACGGTCACGTCCCGGGAGCGCCCGAGCTGTGGGATTCCGGAACCCGCCCCCCGTCTCTGCCAGCGTGTCTTGCCCTTCGCACCGTGGTCGGAGAGATTGGTTTTTTTTCCAACTTCTTTTCAATGACATCCTTAAAAAAAAAAAAAAGGAAAAGAAAAAAGTAATTACAGCATTCTTAGAATCACCAGGTTTTTATATGCTGACCCAACGGGGCCGCACACTCTTGGAGAACCCCCTTTGCATTTGTAATTCACACTGGTATTCATTAGTAAGTTAAAGTGACAGAGTTTTAGATTTAAGCCCTAAAAACATTTCTTAAACTCATTAACAGAATTTCTTAAATTCTTTAGCAGTGTTTCCTACACTGAGGGATCCAAACACGGGGCGGGGGTGGGGCAGGGCATAAGAACCTCACTTTCAACTTGGAGAAGCGGCTTTCCGGCCTCCCGCCTGACCAATGGACTGGGTAGATTGTGCACAGCGTCGTCTCTCGCCGTCCTGACATGTCCGAAGGGGGTTGACAGAAGCCTCTGGTTATCTGGACTTGAAGCCTTGCTTTCTCTTCTTCCAATCTTACTAACTGAGCATCTTGTTCTAGGCCTGGCCTTTTGGGGGAGGCAAAGATGAATAAAGTCCCCTGCTCGAGAAGCTTGTCAATTACTTTCCCAGGATGCTCTCCAGGCCTTTAACATCTTAACTTGTTAGGGACGTCAAGGTCTTTTCCCTCTTGTGCAAAAGGTTCTCATTTGGAGTTTGAAATAAAATTTTGTGAGGATGATTACTTTGGAGAAGGTTCAGAGCTTAAATCAATAGATATGCGTCCTTCCAGTCCTCTCCTAAAATAAAAAAGAAGAGCCACAGCTCTATAGTGACTTCAAAGACGACCATTTTATTGATCACTGGAAAACCCCTTTTCTTTGCCTGCCATTTAGGTAGTTAGGTTGACTTGGCTCAGCCTTCTATACTCAGACACAGAAGTGCTGCATGCATTCCACTTCTTGATCATTCCAGAGTTCCAATCTGCTTTTTAAAAAATAACAGTTTTATCGAGGTATTACTGACATCATCTAAAATTTAAATACCATGCATTTTAAATGTACGATTCAAATGTACATTTTAATTTTATTTTAGTTTATTGACAAAGCTTTGCCACTATCATCACCATGATCTCACAATTTTGAAACATTTTCATCACCCCCAAAAGAAACCTTCTACCCCTTAGCAGTCATTCCCCAAACCCTGGTAACCAATAATCTAGGTTCTGTCTCTATAGACTTACCTATTTGGGATAGTTCATATAAAAGGAATTATACAATAGAAGCAAGGTCTTTTGTGACTGTCTTCTTTCACTTAGCACGTTTTTGAGAGTCATCCAGGTTGTAACATGTATCAGTATTTCATTCCTTTTTGTGGCCAAATAATATTCCATTGTGTGGATGGATATATCACATTTTGCTTATGCATATATCAGTTGATGAATATTTGGGTTATTTCCACTCTTTGACTATTATGAATAATTTTGCTATGAACATTCACATACAAGGTTTTATGTGAACATATTTTTCATTTCTCTTGGATATATATCTAGAAGCAGAAGTGCTGGATCATACGAAAACTCTATGTTTAAATGTTTAAGGTACTACCAGCCTATTTTCCAAAGTAGTTGCATCATTTTGCATTTCCATCAGCAATGTATGAAGGTTTCAATTTCTCCACATCCTTGTCAGCACTTGTTATTGTCTATCTTTGTTTCAGCCAAATTAATGGGTGTAAAGTGGTATCTCATTGTAGTTTTGATTGCATTTCCCCCATGATTAATCATACAAGAATTTTTTCAAATGCTTATTGACCATTTGTGTATCCTCTTTGAAGAAAAGTCTAATCAAATCCTTTGCCTATTATTAAATTGGGTATTTGTCTTTTTATTGTTAATTTGTAAGAGTTGTTTATGTATTCTATATACAAGTCCCTTACCAAATATATAATTTGAAAATATTTCCTTCCATCCTATAAGCTGTCTTCTTTTCTTCATTGCATCATTTGGGGCAGAAGAGTTTTCAATTTTGACAAAATCAAATTTATCTATTTTTTCTTTTGGTGTCATATCAATGCCTAATCCAAAGCCATGAAAATTTACTCATAAGTTTTCTTCTAATAATTTAATAGGCTTACATCTTACATTTAGGCCTGTGATCCATTGTGAGGTAGGGCCAATCTGCTTTTGGTGGGGAAATTTCCATAATTCAACAACACTAACTAAAGGGAATCCCACCACAGTGAACTGATAACGAGTGCAACATTTTAGAGTTGATCCTGAATATTTTCTAAACTCCCTTCTAGATTTTTTTTAATTGTGATTTTCAAAAGTGACCTGTTAGTGAAGTCTATAAATGTAAGAAATAAGGCAATGTAAAAAAATAGTGTAAATCTGCTTCTTAAACTACTGGTCTTGAACCACTGGTGGGTTATTAAATCAATTTAGTGGGTCATGCCAATGTATTTTTTAAAAATCAAACAGAACAGAACAGAATGGAAGAGAACAGAAACTATCAGAATGTATCTTCTGAATTAAAGTGTTGCTTCATAACTTTGGTATTATATGTGTGTGTGTGTGTGTGTGTGTGTGTGCGCTAGGAGTTGGTGTTAAATGTGTTTCTTACTGTGGGTCACATTTTAAAAAGTTGGAAAAACACTGTATCAGCTATAGCTGCAGATTCTTTCATTCCACATTTATTGTGTGCTTACTTTGTGCCAGGCCCTCTGCTAAGTGCTGGGGATAAAATGATAAACAGCACATGGTCTCCACCCTGCAACAGTGCACATATGCAGGCTCATCCATATGTAGTTTTTAGAGATAAAAGATTGTGCCTTCGTTCAGTTTTCCTCAACCACAAGGATGCCTTCCAAATATTGATGTTTGATCCCATGACACTTATATTTTTGCAATTAATGCTCAGTTGTTTATCTCCTTTGAGATTTGCAGACATATTTGCTTTTCTTCCAACTAGGGGAACTTTGTTCCCAGGTTCATAATTCCATACTATTTTTATTATATTGGGAAGGAAGTACAGGTCTAGGAGTAGGAGCTGGCCATAACTGAATTAATTCCCATGTTTAACTATAACTAGGCCCATGACAGACCTCAGGTATTTTTAAATACTGGTATATTACTTTTTAAGGGAAATTTTTAAAATCATGACAAAAATTTTGTTTTCCAATGGTTTGGCAAACACACCACTGGCATTAATAGTGACATTTAACCAGTTTGCAGATTGAGTTTAGGAAAACTAATAGGCTGTATGTCCAGTCATATCCACTCAAGTCACTTATTTACAGCAACTGGGTACAATCACGGCTCTGACATTTGTTCCTTCTCTTTATCTGAGACACCATTTATCAATCTCTGAACACCAGAAATTCCCAGGAGATTTAGAAGATCTTAATTTAAAATTTGAAAAATTACAACCAGTTCAACATGCTGGACAGGTTAAACACACACACACACACACACACACACACACACGCACACACCCTTCCACAAATATATCTACTTTTTGAATGACTCTATTATGTTCCCATACATGATTTTAAAATCCACTTATGAAATTTTATCTGCAACCACCCAGTTTTACTACTAATTTTATTAAGGTCTCTTTTTTCCTCCTTTCCATATTTGTCACTTCTTATCTTGCCTCTTACTGAATGACTTGCCCATTCATTATAAGGTCTTAAGTACCAGTGTGTAGCCCATTACTTCTGACTTCCAATTGCTTGATCTTTTCCTTATACCCCTCTTCTTAACTCAGCACTATTCTGTTTTAAGCAGTTGCCTATAATTAAAAAAATTTTTTCTGGAACATTATAATAAAAGTATTAATCTTGGTTATGTGCAACTAATTAGGTTACAATGTAAGAGAGCTATGTATTGGTTCAAATTTTAAAAAATAAAACTATAACCAAATTGGTATTTTATTTTTTATTAACACCCCAACTTAGAGGTTTCTTTTAATAATTTGGAGAATTGGAAGAAATGATTTTAAAGCCATTTCTCCAATAATACTCTTTTCTATATTGAATGAAATAACTCCCTATATTTCTTTTACTCACCTATTCAAAAAAATTTTTTTAAATGTTTCATAACTTGTAAACATCTATGAAATTAATAATGATATTTAATTCCAAGGAAACTCTACTTGGTATTTCAATTGTTTTTAATTAAACCATTTAAATTTTAAGGTTTTAATGGTTTGAAAACATCTTTTAAAACCTCAAAAATACTTTGATTTGGGGAATAAAAAGAGTCTCATTCCCTGCTTAATCAATTTTTTTCCACTTTTTCCCCTAAAAAATTTGACTGACTTTATCTATCAATTGGCCTCTAAGTATCAAGAAGTAGGAAGTAAAATGAGTAGATGTTAGGAAGAACAGAATTTCTGGTCACCTTAGAGTTTTCAGAATGGCAAAGTTGTTCTATTTTCTATTTGTCTTTCCTTCAAGAGTTTTGTTTTAGTTAAGTACTGGTAGAATGGAAAGAACCCTAACCTTTATCTCTGCTCACTGTGACCTTGAGTGAGAGACTCACATTCTCTGAGGTTTGGTTTTCTCATCTATGCAATGGAAATACAATATACTCTCATAATTTCATCACTGAGATAATGTGAGAAATGCAATGCCAAGTCAGGCTATTCATAGGAACTCAATAGATGTTGTTTATCAACTGAGTGAAATTGAGTGAATTGAGAATGTTTTTTCTGATAGTCACTCATTAATTACAAAAGCATAGTCTGGATGCTAAATTGAAATATTTTTTTTCATATATGCATCATATTTTGTCATCAGTCTATATGGACACTGTACAATCTTTCTGGCATGTAAAAAAATGACTGGTTTAATGAATGGATTTTGAAATAGTTACGAATCCTAGATTTCTGTATGAGAATGGTTTTCTGAGGGTACCTCCGTAAATTTATGGGTCCTAGGTTTTGTCATATAAAACAAAAAAAAAATTTTTTATGATGGAAAACGTTAGACATACACAGAAGTACAATAGTATAATGACTCCCCATGTACCCATGACCCAGTTTCAGTTCACAGCCAATGCTGTTTCATGTATACCTTCATCCACATCCCGCTTTTCTGTGTAATTCTGAAGCAAATCCCCAAAACACATTTCATCGTAAAACTTTTGAACAGTTTTAAAATGTTGTTCTTAAGTCTTCTATTTAAAAGTTGGTTCAAATGGTTTGCTCTGGGAGACTTTGGATTTATCAGAAAAATTTCTCCACTAAAATTTTCCCAACTCTTAATGTCTATCAAGGTGTAAAATGTGTTCATTGCTG